TTTCGTTGAGGCAATAATAAATTGGAACTGTAAACGTTCTTGATCTTAATGGGGGAGGGTGTATCGGGGTTACACGAACCCTGATAACAGGTGTGTGTGTCACACGAGATGTGCATGGTGTGACCACACCCAAACAATAATACGGTGTAGCCAGTTGTTATACATGTATTTAGAAATATTACATATGTAGTATATTTAGGAAAATCTAAACTTTCAAAACTAAAAAGATAGAAATCAGATTCGGATTCAAACCGAAGAGTCGATTAGCGTTGGGAAGGCAAAAATCACTCTTGGAGTAAGCGGACTGCGATCCGCTAACTCATACCTGGTTCTCGTAAAGAACGAAAGGTCGGTGACCTAAAGTACGCTTCCTCGAGCGTTTTGCTACGGCAGCCCTGCTGCACCAGCCTTATCCCACTAGGACCGGAGCTTCCACCTGTTGTTTGCCATTAAGTCATGTAAAACAGGGTCAAGCCTGTAGAGGTAAGTACTGTATTACCAATGCAAACTCAATGAGTGGAAGCAATTTGCACCAGCATCGTGACCTCCTCGCGAGCGTCTTAAAGATATCCTCACAACGCAGTTGTGACGCTCTGTCTCCTGACCATCTAATCTGGTGCCAATTCCTTTGACTAATGTCTGCCAAAACGTAAATCATGGATCCCGTTACGATATAATAGTTACCAGCAAGCCATGTAGGCAGATCACTGAGTCGAAGATCAACTTGGTCCTATCTTCCTTAACTATAATATTTCTGACAGCAGCGCATTGAGCTTTCTTGCCCAGGCGGACCAAAACGACCACAAAAGCTGAAAAATCAAACGTATACTATAGGGGTCAAATATTAAGCCATGCCGATAGACTGCCAGAATTCTTTTGGAGCTGGCAGACTGGTCAAAGGAGCTGCCTAATGTAGCGAGTGTTCGTTTTACACGTGAACACATATGTGATCACAACCTTGTACATGCCTAATGCAGCGAGTGTGCGTTTACACGTGAACACATATGTGATC